CATTTAGTTTTATTGTATAAATAATTGCTTGATAGTTCAGAACTTGAACATTGTTTAAAGGAGACACAAAGTCAAGTATTTTGTTTTACATTCATCATGGCTAGGACACAAGAAAACAGTTGAAAATGGAGCACCAATTTGTAAGCATGAAAAAGGTACTGCGTGGTTGGGCCATCTTTGGTATGGAGATGTGGTATAGTTAATTGTCAATCTTGGTTCTCAGATCAAGCAGGTAGATTCTGATTGATGCAGCTGTTCGAATCCAACCAAGATAAACAGTTTCTGTGCCTATTTTTCCAATTTAATAGGTGCAATATATGTAAAATTCCTTTTACCTTCAATGTGGGTAAGTGTAAGGTTAAGAACATTGGTAGGAAGAATACAGGCATAGACTACTTTCTACATGCTGAAAGGCTTTAGAAATCTGAAGCACAAAGGGACTCAGGAGTCTGCGTTCAGGATTCTCATAAGATTTGGCAGTTAGGAAAGCAAATGTTATATTAGCATTCATTTTGAGAGGGCTAAAATACAAGATCCGAGATATAGTGCTGAGACTATATAAAGCTCTGGTAAGACTGCATTTGGAATATTGCAGTTTTGGACCCTATATCTAAGGAAGAATGTGCTGGCTGTGGAGGGGATTCAGAAGAGGTTTACAAGAATGATCCTGGGGATGAGATCCTGTCTTAAGAGGAGTGAGTGAGGACTCTAGGTCTATACACAATGGAATTGAGAAGGATGAGGGTGGATATTATTGAAACTTACAGAATACTGAGAAGCATAAATAGAGTGGATGTGGAGAAGATGTTTCCACAGTAAAAGAGTCTAGGATCCAAGGGCACAGCCTCAAGGTGAAGGCATGACTCATTAGAACTGAGATGAGGAAGAATTTCTTCATCCAGAGAGTGGTGATTCTGTGGAACTCATTGCTGTAGAAAGCTGTGGAGGACAAGTCACTGACAGAATTTAAGACAGAGACAGATAGGCTCCTGATTAGTAAGAGGATCAAAGTTCTGAGGAAAGGCAGGAGAAGAGGGTTGAGAAACATGTCAGCCATGATCGAATGACAGAGCAGATTTGCTGAACTGAATGATCTAATTCTGCTTCTCTATCTTATGGTCTTATAATCAACAAAGTTAAGTGTGTCGATATATATTGCTCCCAGCATGCACAGATGCATGACACTGTGGGCACAACTGATAATTATAAACTGTTTTCCAATGTAATTCTCAGCACAGTCTGAATTATTTAAACAATGTAGGAGAATCTCACCAAATGTTGGACATGATGTGCACTGGCTGGCAAGTATGGGTTAGTTGAGTGTGATTGGCAGTGAGCGGGGTATGTAGCAAGGTCTGTGCAACATTCAGACTTGGACTTATAAATGACAAGCGCAGAAATATTAGGTATTGACTGTCTCCAACAATAGAAACATTTCTCTTTGACATGGCATTGCCATTGCTGAATATCCCATTATCAAGATTCTGGCGGCTATCATTGGTTGGCTAGATACTACAGTGAACCAGCCTTATAAAAACTTATCCACAAAATCAGGTTAAAGGCTGAGAATTCTGCAGTGAGTAACTAACATTCTAATTTCACAAAGCATGTCCACAATCTATACGACAGATGTCAGGAAGGCAGTTCACCACCACATTCTCAAGAGTTATTGAGATTGGCAAGAATTGCTAGCCTAGACAGCAACGTTCATAGCTCATGAATGAACAAAATAAATCTGTTATGTGGCATCTTATTGAATTCTATCCCAGCCCACTCTACACCATAAATGTACACCAGGTTCACTAATCTCTTTTGGAGAAGGAAATCTGCTATCCCTACCTAATCTGGCTTACATGCGATTCCAGCCCACAGTAATGAGGTGGACTCTTAACTGCTGTCTGAAATGCCCAGCAAGCCATTCAATTCAAGGTCAGTTGGGAATGGTCAATAAATACACTCCAACCAGTGATGCCAACATAATAAAGAAAATTGAAATGTCTGGTAATTCTACCAAAAATACAGCTGCACTAGATTCAAGCACTGGGCACTCATGAAGAAGAGGACCTAGTGAAGGCTAGACATCAGGTAAGTCCTGGCAGGTCCCAGCAAGGCAGGTGATGGGTGTTTGTCAGGGCAAGTGTGAGAGGCCTGAGGTATGAGATAGCGCAAGAGTTAAAAAGGAGTTATATGATTTCTTTTGTGTGGGGGCACATTCTTTAGATGGCAGGGACCCCTGAAAATGTCTCCTCGTAGTTGCCTGATGCCAGCACTTCCAATAAAATCTTCTGATCTACCTGTGTGGTGTTGGCTGTTGGTAAAATAGCAGAATGGTGGGATAATAAATTTAAGTAATCATTAATTCACCACATAAGGTTCCCATCAGGCACAAGGTGAACATGCTGTCCAATGCCACACCCTGTAAAATGGGAAATAAATAGTACAGGAAAATATATGGCAGGTAGACCACTTACTACATTTTATAAGTGTCCCACCTGCAACCCACCAGCATGGAACTATAAAATTCCACCCATCAGTTCACATAAATGAAGGATTGCCAAAGAGTTTTAAATAAGACTTTAAAGCAGGTAAAGCAAATAATATGGATGGCAAAAGGAAGTTTGTCATTTATTGCTAAAGCAATTGAGTATAAAAGTAGAGAAGTGTTACTGTAACTGTACAAGGCATTAGTGAGACTGCACCTGAAGTATTGCATACAATTTTGGTCCCTTACTAGGGAGGGATGCAGTTGCATTGGAGGCAATACAGAAGAGGGAAGGTGAGGACATGAAGGGATTTGAGAACAACATTGAGAATTTAAAGCCAAGGTGTTGCTTGACAATGAGCCAACATACGTCAATGAACACAGAGGTGATTGGTGAATGGGACTTGGTGAGAATTAAGGCACAAATTTTCGATGATGTCGAGGTTACAAAATGTAGAATGTCGGAGATAGCCAGAAGTTCGTTGAATTTGTCAAGTCTAGGGCTAACAAAGACATGAATGAAGGTTCAGCAGAAGATGACCACTCTCTTCTTTAAATCAAAAAGGGTGAAATTCAACAGAAATACGAGAAAGTCATATTGAATTGGATACAGTATATACGTCATTCAGTTTGCCTCCACCTGTTTCGTCAAACCTTATCCCGCTATCACTCCAAGATCATGGAGTCCAGTTGTAAGCTGAGCTTCTGTCTGTCCTCTAATGTGGATATAACCGATCCCTGGCACTAACAAAGAAGAGCAGGGAAGTCTGCAACTGTCCTGGTCAACCAGGACTCGTCAACCCAACATCTTATTGGTTAGTTTTGATCTGATCATTAATCTCCTTCATGTTTCTTTGAGCAGTCTTTCTATTGCCTTTGCTATGTGCTTGTCTATGCTACAAATTTAGGAGCATGAATTGCTTAATTGTAATATCTGAATATCTTAAGCTGCTTTACAATTTATGAATTACTTTTTGAAGAGTTGGCACTGATGGAATGCAGGAAACATGGATGCCAATTCACAAAACACCCAGAAACAGTAATTTGACAATAGAGTCAGAATATTTACAGCACAGAAGAAAGCCATTTGACCCATGTGTGTTGACTGTTAAACACTAGAAGATAAAAATTTGTTTCTATATTGTCCAGGCATATGCTTTTCTGGTCATTTTTTTATTTTGACATATCACAAAACTCCTACATACAGCCCCATTTCCATTTGGTCTCAGTCATCTCTGCTGTATCCTACTAGATGCTAATATTGGCTGTCTGCAACAGCAACTAATCTCCGTTCACACCTTAACTTTTCCCAATGCAGTTTCCTTCTCCACAGATAATTAATTGGAAAGCTTCAATTGAATGCCTCTACCTCTCTCGGCAGTGAATTCCAGGTCCTCACTGCTCCCTTTTAACTTAAGTTGTGTTTACTTCTTTATTCATTTACAGGTGGAGGGCATCGCTTTTAGGCAGCATTTATTGCCCATCCCTAATTGCCCAGAGGGCGGTCGAGAGTCAGCCACATTGCTGTGGGCCTGGAGTCACATGTAGACCAGACCAGGTAAGGCTGGCAGTTTCCTTCCCGAAAGTACGTTAGTGAACCAGATGGGTTTTTCCTGACAATCGGCAACAGATTCATGTTCATCACTAGATCCCTAATTCCAGATTTTTTTTATTGAATTCAAATTTCACCATCTGCCATGGATTCGAACCCAGAATGTTGTCTTGGTCTCTAGATTAACAGTCCAGCAATAATACCACTAGGCCATTGCCTCCCCCTAAAAACAATCTATCCATGTTAATGAAGTTCCAATCCCTGGAACACTGATGGGATGTTAATTTCATCGTGATGTTGACTGAGGAATAGATATTGGCCAAGGCACCAGGAATAGCTCCCTGTTGTTCTTGGAAATAAAGCCATGTGATCTTTTGCAGCTACCTGAACAGTTTGATGGGCTGTCAGTTTAACACCTCACCTTAAAGCTAGAACCTCAGATTGTGCAGCATTTTTTCAGTGCTGCATTCAAGTGTCAGTCTTGATTTTTGTGCTGGATTGGGGCTGGAACCCAGAACTTGGCTCAGAGATTACCTGCCAATGATTTAATGTAAACTGGAAAACCATTGGGAACTGGTGAGTGTAATGCAGCCACAAGCTACTTTATATTTTGTTAAGTTTCATAATTAGTGGGAAGCCTTGGTTGACTGCTACGGTTTGTGCTTTTGAAAGTTCTATTGAATGTTTAAGTTTCCTAATAAATATCAGAAAATGCAACAAAATTTGGCTTAAATAACTGCAGCTTAATTCAGCAGACATCATGACTTCCACAGACACACTGATTTAATACTGGTAATTTTATTGGTTTGAAGAAGCAGCTTTATAGACTCTCAGGACAATGTCCTTGACACTCTATATGTTAAATTGTTAACAGCATATTTGTTAAGAAAATCAAGCATTAATAACTTAAATGCTTGCAGATTTTTCTTAAAAACTATTTGACCATCAGCATCGTTTCCAAGACTTTTATTTTTCATCATGATAATCTGCAGCACCAGAGATTGTAATGGTTCTCTCTTGTATATCATTTTGCAAAGTGTCTTCATCTGTTTTAACTGTTCTGAGATTAAAAGAAAAGATTATAACATTAGCATTTCACAATAAAGTTGATAGAAAATGAGCTAGGTTCTCTCCAGGTTTGCTATCTCCATGTGCCACAACCAGGAAATTCAGTAGCCCTAGGTACAAAATCTGTCCTCATTGTGCTCACATGGAAATAATAAGAGGAACAGTATCTTCCAGATCTTTTACAATTCATCGGTACCCAAGTTGAAGACTATATTTTTAAGTAATTGTCACTTCACAATATTGGGAAAGGTTGAAGCAGATGGCTCAGTTGACTGGAAGGCTGGTTTGTGATGCAGAGTGACACCAATAGCACAGGCTCAACTTCTGATTCACTGAAGTCACCATGAAGGTTCCACCTTCTCAACCTAACCCCTCTCTAATGAGACAGCAGCTCTATGATCCTCTGGGATAATGGCGACTTTACCCTACTTATATGTTAGAATAGTATAAATGCTTTTAGCTTCTAAGTTAAATCATCCTCTTGAATTTTCAGAATGTGCTAACTATTGGCTTATTAGATAGAGTGATGGCTAGACAAATGTAAATTGGAATATTCTTTCAGTCTGGGAAAGAGACCAAGCTGCTGTGGCTGTAGTTCTAGTGAACTTTAGGACATTTCAGGAATAATTTTATCAGCTTGTTCATCTGGTACAGAATCTTACCTGTCAGGAAATGGTTGGAAAATCATGCAGGAGTGTATCTGAATTCCAAAGCTAAGAGCTAGGTTAAATAAAGTACCGACATTTATTTATCCCAAACATTTGTTAGCTGTGTGAAGCATTCACTGTTGTATTGATTCCTCTATTTTTAAAAGTATATATATTCTTTCAGGGGATGTAGGCATCACTGGAAGGGCCAGAATTGTTGTCCATCCCTAACTGTCATTAAACTTAAGGCAGTTAAGAGTTAACCACATTGCTGTGGCTTTGGAGTCACATGGAGACCAGACCAGGTAAAGTTGGCAGATTTCCTCCCTTTAAGGCTATTACTGATGGGTTTTTAAATAGTCACTGTTACTTTTGTGGCCATCATTAGTGAAACTAATTTTCAATTCCTGATTTATTTTTGAATTGAATTTAAATTTCCCATACTGTTCCCAGTATGTTAGCCATGGACTCTGGATTACCAGACCAGTGACTATTTCTGTTTCTGCCTTGAGATTTAAGCAATGTTTTAAGTTACCTTTATGACATAGATATGAATATACAAGCCCACCTCAATTGTAAGGAAATACTGTGCATAATTTTGAATATTTGTAACTCATTATCTTGATTTCCTTTTTTTTCTGCCAAAATGAGAAAATGAAAGTAAGCACATTCTTGACACCAAAATTTCTCAAGCAACGCGTTTATAATTAAAATTTAACTTCTGCAAATTACCCATACATGGAATAAAAATATTTCATCATTTCTTTCATTGTTCTATCATTTATTGTGCCCTCATCAATAAGTAGGAAACGTTCTGCTGCTGATTACAAGAGTATTACAATTCCCAAAAGAGTGACTGATTTATAATTTGCTCCGAACATTGGAGGAGTGAATTACTTTTACCTGATAAATACTGTTTTCCTTTCAGTCACTTCCACAGCCTGTTCCTTGGAAATGTTCTCAACAGCACTGAGATTCTCCTGTCCCATCATGCAGATTCCACCCATCAATGTTGACAAGCGAGAATCCTCTCCTTCAATCAACTTCCTGAAGATTGGTAATAAAACAAAGAAAAAGAGGTTTGGTTAACAAGAACATATTCAGTTTTCCAACAAATACCTCTGAAGTACCGGTGTATTTGAATTCAGCAAAACTTCTGAACAAGGGGCAAAGCTTTTTTGAAAAAGGGCAGAAATGAATTTATTCCACATGTTAATTCTCATCTATTTTCAATCAGAAAATTACCACAAACAGGAAATTATCAGATATACAGTTTTTAAATTGTGTTGCTGTCCAGAAACTGAGAGAAGGTGCCTTGCTCTTCTTTGGATAGTGCTATGGAATCTTTTGCATCCATCTGAACAGGCAGTTGGGATCTTGGTTTAATGGTTCATTCCAAAGGTGGTATCTCAGCCAATTTAGCACTCTCTCAACACTCCACTGAACAGTCAAAGAAAATTATAAGCTCAGGTTCTGCAGTCAGTTTAATGTCACAACCTTTTCCCTTAGATGCAAAAATGCCACCAATTGGGCCAAATTGAAGAGTTAAAACAGAAAGAAAGTGTACACAACAAAAGCATAGAACATCATTGTACGTGTTGATATATTTTTATGCCTAATATCTCCCTTTGTAGAATCTCGACCTGAATTTTATGGAAGGGGTACATTGCTCACACCCTCTCCCTGAAAGAAAAGTGTTACAATACTATGGCTTTAAGAGGTGTATTTTGTCCTTTTTTTGAAGAAAAGTCTTAGGCAGCGGTGATGTGGAGGTGCCAGTGTTGGACTGGGGTGGACAAGGTCAGAAGTCACACAACACCTGATAAAGGAGCAGTGCTTTGAAAGCTTGTGATTTCAAATAAACCTGTTGGACTATAACCTGGTGTTGTGTGACTTCTGACCTTAAGGCAGATGGGGATAGCTGTCTATTGAAAGTTATGGCAGTGAAGGGGGTGGTCATGGCCACTCAAGGGCTTCAAAGGACTAACAGCTGGTGGGCTAGTGGCTTCCTTACCTACTCAGCCTCAATATTATAGGGGCTGGGTCAGGGGTGAGGGGCAAGTAGTGAGCTACCTCGCATCATGTTTTACTTGCTGCCCTACCTCTACCAGAAAACATGTCCATTTGGGGGAGGCATTAAATTAGGCTCATTTGATCAATTTTTGTGAGGGTACACTTTCATAGTGATCATGCTATTGAACTTGTAATACAGAGACCTGGATTAATGAACTCTTGATGTTAATTTTAAGTCTCACCGCAGTAGCTGCGCAATTTAAATTCAGCTAATGAAATAAAATCTGGAATAAGAACTTACTATCAGTAATAAAAACAGAAAATGCTGGAAATACTAACAGGTCAGGCAGCATCTGTGGAGGAAAAAAGATTTAATGTTTCAGGTCATGATGACCTTTACTTAGCAACTGACTCTGGCTCTAACTTATTCTGTGAGGATTGCAACTGAAATTCTACCTTCATTTTTAAATTAGAGATATCTCCAAGGTATTTAGAATTCCTCAAATGACTATTCTTTCTGCATCCTAAGATCCATAGTATTCTCATGCCATGATGTTCACAGTCTCTCTCTTAAGCAGCACCAACTCACTCTATCTCAATGTTGTCCTGCTCCACAAATTCATTTTCTCCTTTACCTCAGCGCCTTAACAAAAAACGTTGGCTACCTTTCAAGGTGAAAGATTGCAGGCTTCACCAACTTATGGGTGCTAACATCACTCTGGATCCTTCCTTCGTTCCCCCTCCCTCTGACTACATGTTTTCTTTCAACCTCATCCCTTGTTGTGTATCCATGATGCCCCTTGATCTTTTCCTTTCTGATTCTGAATTATCTGTCCTCAGCAAAGGCATAAAAAAATTGTATTAATGTTGGTATTGGTGACCTGGAAACTACCAGGTTGCCATAAAACCCATCTAGTTCACTACTGTCTTTTAGGGAAGGAAATCTGTCATTCTTACTGGCCTATATGTAGCACCAGACCCACAGTAATCTAATTGATACTTAAATGCTGATAACAACAGCTTGCAATTATATAGCATCTCACTAAAATACCCCAAGGTGCTTCACAGGAGCAATTTAAAACAGAATACAGCACCTAATCACATTAGGAGATACTAGATCAGATGCTAAGCCAAAACGTAAGTTTTAATAGAGTGCTTTACAAGAAGCAAGCAAGGTCGAGAGGCAGATGAATTGAGGGACAGAATTCCAGAGTTTAGGCCACAAGTAACCGAAGACATGGCTACCACTGGTGAAGCAATTAAAGTCAGACATGCATAAAAGATTTGAGCATAAATATTGGGAGACTGTAAGGCTGGAACAGATTACAGTAATAGGGATGGGATTACAGAGAAAGTTGGTCCTCTAAAACAGCTTAATAAGCCATTCAGTTGTACTCAAAAAGGCAGATCACCACCACACTCTCAAGATCAATTAGGAGCAAGCAATATATGCTAGTTTTGCCATGGTACCTGGATGCTATGATTTGTTTTGTAAAGTGTCACTTAAATCTGGATGATTGGTGCAAACTGGATGTAAGGGACCATTAGGCCAGACAATGTCAGTCTTGTTTCACTTGCCTGGTGCACGCAAGGAGACTTTTGAAGCTACAGTCAGAGGCAGTCTGTACTTTATTAGCCTATTTAGGAGGGGCAAGTGAAAGTGTCACTCCATTTTCTGGCATCCAGCTATAAACATCCAGCATATTCAGACAACTTTGTAGAAAGGGTACACTTTTGGATGAAGAGTCTTTGAAATCAGAAGGGTTTTCAAAGATAGATATCTTATGCTAGTTACAGCCAAGCTCTGTAAAGAGAATCTCACATTTAGGCTTTCATGAACTTTTGTGTCATTTATTATCACTGAAACCAGTAGAATTAATAATGCAGTTTTTTTTGTTATGTCTCGACTCATGTCTTTAGATCATTAAGCCAAAGTCCAGCTTACTAGTCCAGTAACTACTATACTACCATGGTCCTACTTTCCTACTCTATCATTACAGTCTGATTTCACAGTTGAACATTTACAGCACAAAATGGCACTGAGGAACAATTATCCTAAGTTTGTGGAATATGTTTTAGAGGCTGAATAGTCAGTTTCTTGCTATTTCTGATGTCTTCTTCAAACCTATTGGAGTATGAGCCGTGGCTATGAATAATGATTGAACTTAGCTTAGACTGGACTAGTACTTGATCTGAAAATTCAAGTTGGGTTAGGCCTAATTTTAAAATATTTATAACTGGCAGATCTGTAGGTGAAAATCACCCCGTCCTACAGAATTGCACAGACAGCACTAAATTCTACATACCTATGCCTGTACTAATTCTGGAACTGGTACAGTCTCATGCCCTTTACCTGTATTCTTTTATATTCTTACCTCTTGAACACATATCCATTTCCTTTTTAATTACATCATAGAGTGTGTCTTAATAGTCATGTTTCAAAAATAACCCATGTTCTAAGAAATATTTGTACTAAAAACTCTTCCTTTCTTCCTCTTGTAATACTCCAGAATCTATCGGGATGTATTTATCCAGGGGTTCTGTTGCTTGTTCTTCCTAATTTCTGAGTAAGGATTGTGAAAACATTATTTATATGTTGTTTCCCTGTAACTAGTTCCAAATTAAATCAAACAGAGTAAATCAACCACACCTGAAAGGATAAATGATTGGATAATACTTTGACTAAATGCTTAGAAATTCATTTCAAGGTGTACCAGGACTCATGAAACTCTATTTGGGGTGCTAAGTGGATGCATCTGCTTTATCACACCTGATGAAGGGCCACTACCTTACACACTAACATATCATCTTTATTTTCAGATATGCACAGATCTGCTACTTATTTCCAGCTTATTATGTTTTCATTCCTCGACAGTTCCTTACCTGTATGTAGTAATTTCAACCTCCAGTGCCATTTTAATATTGAGCAGGTCTTGATATTCACGTAAATGGAGAGTTATTTTTTCTTTGGTGGTACTCAGCTGTTGTTGCAAACTCTCAATTTTATTCTGCAGGGAATAATATTCTAAATGTAATTTTCTACTTGCTAATAAAATTTCTGATGAAAGTGCAATAGCTGGATGCAGGTTCTTATAAGGATTCCTTTTAACATGGCGTTCTATATAAACAGCATAGCATGCAATGGCAGGAATGATTTAAACAATTTTGGCAGCATAAATATAATTACCTGAATTTTATAATAAGGACCAACTGAGTCTGAACCTTCACTGCAGATTTGAGACATTGGGAGGCTTCCAATTGACATCAATCACCAGACACTGCATCACTGTTAGGTCTCCAAATGCTACCATGGAATTTGCAGTAGTGGGAAAATTGACATCAAGCTCAGTGCAAAATCCTGTGCCAAATTAAAGCCAGACTCATTGATGATACTTGACAGCAGGTTTTCTGGTGTATTTGCCAATGCAACAATGCACTTTTGTGCAAATATCCATCAGTATTGTCCTGTAGATTGCAGCAACAAAGTCCTCATCTGAATCACTTTCTGCAAAATTAGACTGTGACCTTGCCCTCTGTTCATGCATGAACTATCCTTTTCCCTTTATGTTCTAGTTGAATGCCAATTGTCAAATTCCATTTCACTTTCATCTTACTACCTGGAGCAAAGTATAGTCTACAGATGGTGTGAGCATGAACCTCATGCTTTCCAACCTCACCCACTTTCCCTCCTGGGTTTGTGCTTTCAGTAACACAAGAGCTGCAACCTGCTCAGCAAGTGCAATCTCATCATGAAAAGTGAAAATTACAGCCATATCTGATGAAGAAACCTGCTCATTTTATTTGGTTCCTCCAGCCACCAGCTAGTTACTGGCACAGTATGAAATTTAGCCAAGAACATAAATCTGGAATTAGCACATGGTGAGTCATGAGGCATGAGTGGCCTCAATCAGCCTATGGAAAAAGGATAGTTCACGCATCAACTCAACAGGGGGCAAGATCACAGACTAGTTTTGCAGAAAGTGATTCAGATAAGAACTTTGTTAGTGCAGTCTACAGGACAACACTGATGGATATTTGCAGAAAGACGCATAGTGCATTGGCAAAAACACTAGGAAACGCGCTGTCAAGTATCATCAAGGAGTCTGGCTTCAATCTGAAGTTTACCTTTTCCAGCATGGAAGTGCTACAAATTCCATGACAACATTTGGAGACCCAGCAGTGATGCAGCACCTGGTGATCGATGTCTCAGCTTCCACTGCAGTATAGGTGGAAGCCTCCCAATGTCTCAAAGCTGCAGTGAAGGTTCAGACTCACATCAGAGCATCATATCTATTTCAGTGCAAACCCATCTTTATGTAACGCAAAGTCCAGACTTCTGCCATCATGGCAGCATATGGCCAGCGTTCAAAGAGGCATGGCAGCTAATCCAGCAGTCCAAGTAATTGAGACAGCTAAAGTGTTAGCCTGGAGGAGTGGCAGTAGTTCAGCAGTACAGAAACTTGCTGTTCTTTTGGGATGATAGTATGCCTGGTCCAACTGCTGCCATTCTGTCAGTGCTCTTTTTGCTGCTTTCAGCTAGTCAGACTGATGCCGCCCATGCTGCAGTGAAGCTTCCAAAGTTGAGGCCTGAAGATGCAAGCTGCTTGAGGTCGCCTCGCAGAGCTATCTGCAAACTCTGTTAGTATACGTTAGCAGCAGAAATGCAGCAACTACTGGGACAGCACTGCATAGAAATGGTAGGATAGGTAAAAGCATCCACAGGACAGAGACTGAGAGAATGCACAAGCATGATTGATTAATTTGTGTGTATAAATTAATGCTTTGTTGAATAAAGATGTTAACAACTGGGATCAGTAAGGGAATCAAGGTATGGGGATAAGGAGAGTAGAATTGAGGATTATTAGATCAGCTATGAGTTCACTGAATGGCAGAGCAGATTTAATGGGCTGATTGGTCTATTTTTTCTCCAATGTCTTATGGTCTCATGGAGTTCAGTTAGGACTGACTAAAGATTGGGTATTAATTGGACCTGAATGATCCAAAATGATAGAACAAGCACCATATCAGCATTAGAGTCTGTTAGACACCATTACTCATGCACTCTGAATGGTGTTACAGAGTCCAGTTTCATGGCCTGCATGTCACATTGAGAATTATTTAATATGATTGGTTGAGGAGGTGCACTATTGGTTACACTGCTTGCAGACTCCTGTGGAAGGTATTGCTCTAAAGTAGACACTCAACAGCCCACTAAAGGTCTGTGGGTAGCGGTCAGAGCGATGAATGGCTAACATCATTTCTTTATTTTTGATATACAATATCAGAACCAATACAGATTTGCTGCTAAACAGAGAGTTCATCCTTTATCTAGAGACCTATTAGCTGTCCTTTTACTGTCAGAAGAAATAATTGGAAATGCTTCTAAATTGTATATTTGGATTTTCAACCCCAACCTAATGGTAAGTAATGTCACTCTGAGTACCTGGTATTCTTCAGTCTCTCGCTTATATTCATTTACTGCCTCTTTATTCTGCGTCTCCAGCGCTGCCTTTCGGGCCTTCAGAGAATCCAGTTCCATCTCGCTGTTTTTAAGCTGAAAAAAGTAGAAACATCAGGATTTTTAAAAAATGTAACAAGTAAAAGAATAAATGTGCCTCTTATGCAAAACCACAATATATTTTTAATACGACAGTGATGCTTTGGTATGGCTGAGTACCCACTGGAAACGATTGGTCTTTAGGAGGACATCATAACTGCCAATGACTTTGAGCATTAGGTGTGTTTCCAGGATATCTATGGACACCAGGAATGTTAACTCTCTTCTCTTTTTTTTCAGATACAGTCTGACCTCCTGCTTATTTCCCAGATTTGCTGTTTTTATTTTGGATTTCTGTTATTTGCAGTATTTTGCTTTTATCTCAATGAGGAAGCAGGCATATGTATTTTTCCTGCATCAAAGACTTTGGATTATCCTGAGGAGGGAGATTAACTGAAGTTTAAATATTGCTCATTTTGTCCTCAGCATGCCTCTGGGAACTCCCATCAGTCTGCAGGGTTCCAGGATAGGTCACTGATCATGTCTTGTCAGGGGCAGTGCAAAATGAACATGTTCAAAAAAGGCGAATGGTAGGAACATAAAAAGGTACTGCTAAACTTGCACAGTTTGGGAAAGCCTCAAGGAATTCTGGTGGGACAGAAAATAGTTGGAGAGGATAAGTACTGTGATTCTGGCATCCTTCTCCTCATTGCAGTGAACGAGAATTTCTGATTTCCAAACACAGAAGAAATGAACATCTACCATCAAAGGGTTTTGCTTCAAAGAGATGGATCTGACAGTGTTGGGTCAATGTCCAAACAAGATAACTTTAGAAACCCAGATAAACAGAATACAATAATATTCAGTATTTCTGATCTTATTTTAAAAGAAAATCCTTGTTAGCCTGTAGTCATGTTATGAGCTGAACTAATCTGATTTTCTTTGGGGTAGCTAGGATATGTAAACTTTCAGGAAAAGACTGTAGATTGACTGATACTGTAAGACTTCCAGGTAAAGTCCATGCAATATCCACTTTAATTGGTTCAAACTCTACTGGGCTCTAGCACATTAGATTAATAGGCAACATCATTTCTTAGCTGAAATTTTGAGCCAGCTACTTTGGCTGCTGGGTGAGGGGCAGTCTTTCCATTTTGAATCATTCAGCAGATATCCCTGAGAGGTGGGATTCTGGTTACATTTCATCCAGCATCATTAGGGATCCAGTAGTGCAGTGAGGATGTTGCTGGACAGCCACAAAGGTGACTGAACAATTGATTTAGAATGATGCATTTTAATTCCTCCATGTCTGTGAGGGAATTTAAATTCAGCTCATGAAAATTTAAGTAGTAAAGAAAAGTTCATTTCAATTTTTTTTAACATGTCATTACCAGATTGTTGTAATAAGTGAAATTGCTGGAAAATCTCAGCAGGTCTGACAGCATCTGTGAAAAAGGACAGAATTTGTGTTTCGAGTCCAGTGATCCCTCTTTAGAACATCTTCAATTCATTAATGTTCTTAAGGATGGAAATCTGATGTCCTTACCTGGTTTGGCACGTATATGACTCCAGATGTGAAAGAACTGTCTTCTCAAATGACTCAGCAAGCCATTTAAATGTACCAAACCACTTTAGAAAAGTCATTATGGGAGTACTTTCACCACTCGGCAAGCAACAGTTCAAAGAAGGCAGTTCACACCATGACCTTCTCAATAGCAATCAGGGATAGGCAATAGAAAATGCTAAGCATGCTAACAATGCTTATATCCCATGAATTAAATAAATAACCTGATTATTTATTCAATTGTTATTTGTAGAATCTTAACATGTACAAATTTGTTCATTTTAGTCCATATTGGTATCCTATTTGGTGCTGAGCTTTGCTTCTAACCTCTTGACTTCTAATCCCTTCCAGTTCTGCAGTATTATTTATGTCATCCCTGTGGCTTTTGTGCTCTGTAGACCTCAAATATGCCTTCATTGCTCTAAAATCAAGTATTTCACCACTCTTCTAGCCAACATCCTACCTTTCATAAAATTGAGCTTATTTAATGCTCTGCTGCCATATCCTAATTCATATTAAACCTTCACCTTCAATCCTGACTCGCTTTGAACCTTGATCTGGCAACGATCAACTTCAACATTTCAATGTTCTCATTTTTGTTTTCAAATTCCTTCCAGGCTTCACCTTTCTCTATTTTTGAAAGCTGCTCCAGCTCTTTGTATTATTCTAATTTCAGCTTCTTATGTTTCCCAATATTCATCAACCAGCTTTGGAATTTAATCATAAGCCTCTTCATCTCTTTTTCATTCTTTAAGAACTCCTTGAAGCATATCTCTTTGACAAAACATGTCCTTGTATATCGTATGTGACTCAGTACTAGACTTTGATAGTGCTCCTGTGAAGCACGTTATGTTGTTTTACTTTGTTAAAGACATTGCAAGTTATTGGATAAAACAACAGCAACTGCATTTCGTAAGTGCTTCACTTATTGTAAATTACTTTTACAATGTAATGAAGCCATGAAAGGTGTTATATAAAAACAATTTACTTATTTTGTAAACAATTGAGAGAAGGAATTTAGGAACTATCAGTGACTGATCCTGTGATTTACCTTTGGTTTAATACAGCAGGAACTAAAACTATGGGCAGAATTTGACGCTCACCGCCCTCCTGCCCAGCAGCAAGTTTGGAGCAGTGGAACTGGGCTTCAGGGTCTGGGAGATTTGCACACTCGCATATCCACCTGATGAAATTCAAGATGGGAATGGTCACAGACAAGCTTTCTGCCTGGTCTCTAATTGAGGCCCTTCAGTGGGCAATTTGTTCTGGTGGACTTTCACTAACAGAAGCAATATGAGGTAAGGTCCCACAAGACCCCACTACCAACACAAATTATGTCCTTTCCGTAGGTGAATCATGGCTCTTAACTTTAACTCCATAAACTCTAACTTATTAGATCATTGTGCAGCAATATTCTCTAATAAGGGGGGTTGGTTAGCTGGACAGTTGGTTTGCAATGCAGAGTGACATCAAAAGTGCAAATTCAATTCCTGCACTGGCTGAGGTTACCATGGATGTCCCACTTTCACAACCTTGCCCCTCACCTGAGGTGTGGTAACCCTCAGGTTAAAGCCACCACCACTCTAGTGACAGATTGAATCCATGGTAGCTCAACTTTTCCAAAATCTCTAAAAATAATCTTTTATTGTCTAATTGGGGGACAGTTCACATATAATTGATAAGTTCAAACTGTAGTTTTCATGCAACAAAAATTTATTTTATTTTCTCAATAAATGGAGGGACAGCGCCATGTTAGGATGAGGACTACTTACATTCCGCTTACAGTCTGCAAGCTGCTGTCTTGTGATTCGCATATTTTCTATGCGTTTAGCAGATGTGTGATTCAGATCAACAAATTTGCTTTTATACCATTCATCCATTTCCTTGGAGAAACATAGTAAATATTAATTGTTAAGGATAGTTTGTAAATAAAGGCTAACAAAGCAATATAGTATGGGTATATTCACCATCAACATTCTTCTTATTTATTAGTCAAAATCAGTGGTCAAATATTGTATGACAATTTCTAGACTCAACAAAAAAATAACCAGATGATAAACACTCAGTTACTCCAAAGTGATGAGCAGCCTGTCACCTGATGGCATGGCCACCTAATCAAAAAGGTATTCTATTGCTTTTATTGTTAAAAAAAAAAGATGTTTTCACAATTTTATTTCATACTTTTCATCTTTACACGCAGTCTTTCAACATACACAATAGCAAAGCACACCACCAAGAAAGACCTTGAGCGTGCATTGAACAAATGGAATACAAAGGTATATTCAAACTCTCTGTCAGTAGCCTGACAAGTAACTGTACTCGCATGAATAGAACCAGATGGTTTATTGTGTTCCTCAAGGTCAGGAATGATAATGCTGCAGAATGGAACGTTCTCCGCTTTGCACCTCCTGATAGTGTACAACAACGTCTTGGTCAGATAAGGCAAGGGATTGATTTTAAGTATAAGCGTCCCACAGATTTACTCTAACAACGTTTCTTCAATATAACTGTCAAAGATTGAAAGGGACAGAGATTGCTTCCTTTCTCAAACACAGCAGCATTCTTCATTGATTAAATTTAATTTACCAGATTATTAATAATACCTGTATTTTGTATTCTAATTTAAATAAATGTGGTAAGTAAATAACTGAAACATAACATTTTGAGGAGAGCAGGAATAGCAAGGGAAATTATTTTGGACAATGATCTATTAACTGTCCTGATGAACATGAATTTATGAAAGCCATAGCATCACTTTGTTAAATGCTGTCTAAGTAAATATGGTTGACTTGTATCACTAAATCATTTTTCTAAATGAAATTTTTCTAATTTATATTTTTCTGAATCCTTTTTTTTACTGATTTGGATATCTATGTTGATCACACTGAGGGAAATTGACTAAGAACTACCTTATAACTTTGATTCACTTACACCACTAAATTCTAACAATTCAATCAGATAGTCCAGCAGTCACACACATCATACATCACCTTCAACCAAGAAGTTGATGTCCTTCTGCAGTTTAGTATTCCCATTCCATACAACAATTTAATCCGGGTTCAGTCTTGCATCCATTAAATTGGCAATGTATTACCAGTATTAATTATGCATGAATGTATCCAGAAGCTATTCAGTTTGAATGGTTGGTTATAGTACTCTGCCTATCTTCTTAAATAAAAAAGAAAGAGCCGGAATACTCAGCAGACCTGGCAGTATTTGTGGACAAAGAAATGTGATATGAATAATTGACTTATGAGGCTGCTGGAAATTTCTTCAAAATCTTAGTTTCAGCATATGATGATACAGCAATAAAGAAAAGGTTTGCCAAATAATTTGTAGGTCATTGAACCATAGAATTGTGGAACGATTAAAGCTGAGGAGGCCATTTGACCTTCATGTCCAAATCAGCTCTCTGCAAGGAGCTAGTCTCACTTGTAGCCCAACACTGTTTTCTCTTCAGATAATTATCCAGTCCCCTTTAGAAAGCCACAATTCAACCTGCCTTCAGGAGATTCCCAAGCAGTGCATCCTAGATACTAACCACTTGTTACAGATGGAATATTTCGCCTTGTGTTCTTTGGTCAATCACCTTAAGTTAGTGGCCTCTGGTCCTTGACACTTCTGCTAACAGGAAGAGTTTCGCCCTAGAACCTTCATGAGATTGGACTCCTCCATTAAATCTACTCTAAACCTCTGGTCTCTGAGGAGAACAGCTTTTCCACTCTATCTTCATATTTGAAGTTCCTCATTCTTCGAACCATGCACTTAAATTCTTTTGGCACTTTATCCAAAGCCTCCTCATCCTTCTTATGTGATGCCCAGAATTGGACACAATACTTTGGTTGAGGCTGAGCACATGTGTTATACAGGTTGGGTATAACTTCATTGTTTTTGTACTCTCTGTCTCTATTTATAAAGCCCAGGGTCCCATTCACCTTATGAAACACTTTCTCAATCTGCCTTGTCAGCATCATTGATTCATGCACATTTACCTCAGATCCTCAGTTCTTGCATGCCTTTGTAATGTTTATTTTATGATGTTTCTATTTATTCTTCCAAAAATATCATTTGATACTTCTCTGGATTAAATTTCTTCTGTCACATGTTTGTCCATAACATTAGCCTGTCTGTGTCCTCTTTAAGTCTATAGCTATCCCCCTAATGGCTCACAATCCTCCCAAGTAATGGTGTTATCAGCAATTTTTTTAAAGTCATGAACCACATAATGAAGACTATCTTATGAATAAATATTGGGAAAAAACAGGGGTCATTATACAACCTCTGTGCGATCCCAGTTTATGACTTCCAGTCTGAGAAACATTCATTCACCCTTACTCTCTGTTTTCTGTCATCAACCAATTTGTACCCATGCTGCTACTTTCTGTTTTATTTCATGGACTTTAATTTTGCTGACAAGCATATTGTGTAGTACTTTATACAATACTTCTTGGAAGTCCATATACACATATCACATTACATTCATCATTCCTCTCTATCACTTCATCATAAACTCAATCAAATTAGTTAAACATCGATTTGCCATTGACACATCTCCACTCGGCTTAGTTAGTATTCCTTTGTCCAACAGACTGCTTGTTAATTTGTCTCAGATTATCATTTCTAAAAGCTTTCCCATCACTGACGTTAAACTGACTCGTCTGCAATTGCTGATATTATTCTTAAACCTTTTCTTTAAACAAGGCTGTAACATTTGCAATTGTCCAGTTATGTGCCAACACCCGTTTATCTAAGGAGGATTGGAAGATACTACTTCTGCAAATTCCACCCTTACTTCCCTTGTCCAGTCCAGGTTGCTTATCTGCTGCCTAAATTACCTCTTCTTTCACTATGACTTTCACAGCATCTTCTTCCTCAGATTAGTATCTCAGCCACAGCTTCTGCCTGTAAACTAAATCACTTTAATGACTGAATCAGTAATGCATGTTTGGCCACACTTGCCAACATGCCATAAATAACTTCTAAATACCCTAGCAAATTTACCTGGAAATGATAAGGAAATTTGCCTTCTCAGAATCTAGATCAGCATAATGCAGATGATGAGCTGTGCCAGCTGCTGCAATGCTGTGTACCACCTGCAACCCTGAATGGACAATAAAGATCAATTGAAGCAGGACGTTATGCATATTTCCTTTCCAGAATATTGTAGTATAATGTATCGGATTCGGCTGCAAAATATCGCAGATGGAAAGATTCTTGCAAACTTTTCATCAGCGGCTCTTCAAAGTAATCAAGAGGTGGTCAGGTGTAGGAATCTGCTGTCAAAAGTCCTACATATGTGGTTGCTTTCTGTTCCTGATTTTTATTGACCAGCACCATATGAAAGTAAGTCTTTGATTTTTTTTTAATCTCTCAATCAACCTCAGCCACTAATATGGACTTCCTAGTCATTGCCACATCCTCATTTGCACACCTTGCTGTCCACAAATTGGTTGTCTCATCTTCAACATTACAACAGTGACCACACTTCAAAAGAACTTCCACTGTTGTAAAGTGCATTGGGATATCCTGAGATCAGGAAAAGTGCTATGTAAAATACAAGCATCCTTTTCTTCTCATCACTTGTTATTCAAGCAGTTCTTAAATTAGTGAAAGTTAAAGCAGAACTAATTTATACCTGAAAAAAAGTTCATCCCCTATCTGTGAAAATTGTGTTCCAGTGTACGTATTCACTAAGTCTCATACAAATACTGCATGTAGAACAGATCAAAACTATTTACGAAACAGAAAATATCTCAAATGTTTTTAAACCACCTCACCTGCAAATTCTTTGCTGATATGTCTTCATACTGAAGTTGAATATCTTTAAGTGCAGTAGCCAGATCTGGAATTGTGTATGTCATATCAACACTGGCAATAACATTTTGGATCTGTTTCATTAGTTCCTCAATTTCCTATTTAAAAGATAAATAATACAAAATCATAATTTCACCAATTGTAATTCATGTTAATAATAGCATGCATCATAATTAAAAAGGCATAGAGTAAAAACACAATTCTTTATTAGTACTTTGACACTTATCGACTCTATAATTTTCTCTATAATTATGCACAATAATAGGTTTTTAAACAAAATTTTCAATATAACCTTGTCAATGGGATAAATAATTCATCAAAAGTAAGACAATATTTTAATATACCCTGCTGTTACTCATCTGCATGTTCATGCAAGTATTTATTTTTGTATGTATTTCCATGTGCAAGGAATAGAGGAATATATGCAAGGCATGGACCAAGGCAGGCAGAAGGGATTAATTTAATTTGGTGTCATGTTTGGCACAACATCGTGAGCCAAGGAGCCTGTTCCTGTGCAATACTGTTCTATGTTCTATGTTCTATTCAGTATTGTACGTTTGACGAACTAAAACATTTGAATTGACCGATACTGTTACAATACTGTATATGCCACGCTCTACATAATCTTTAACTTTGTACTTGTTTTTGTTCAATTCTTCCTCCCTTATAACTACATATTTCAAAATAGACATGAACGTGAGGTTTATAAATCAGATTTATGTTGTTTTGAATATGAAACTATACCTCTTTGTGCACTCTCTGGAGGAATTCCAGTTCAACTTCAAGGTTCTCCAGCTGCTTTTCAAGGTCCATTCGTGCTGTTGTGGCAGCATCTACATCCTATAGTAATTGTAAATTCTATTACTTATGATAGATACAATAGGAATTAAAAAAGAATAGTAATTGCTGTGCATGTCATCATTACATTATGTAAAGACAGTAAAGCTGAATATAAATGGCATTGTGTCATCTATTAATTTTCTGTCACTTTGATGGAAGAGCTGTGAAAATGCCAGAAAAACAGCAAAAAGCTCTTCCACTGAAGTTATGGCTGATGGGTCAGAGAAGGTTCACAGAAAATCAGCCCCTATTTTTCCCATAAACATATTTATTACAGTTTGAAATGTGAATATTTCAATGCAGAGATAGTAGGAACTGCTGATGCTGGAGAATCTGAGATAACAAGGTGCAGAGCTGGATGAACACAGCAGGCGAAGCAGCATCAGAGGAGCAGGAAAACTGATGTTTCAGGTCGAGACCCTTCAGAAATTTCTCAAAGTTTCTGTTCGTTTGTATGAATGACCATGTTCTAATGGTTTGTCACTTGTATACCTTTTTTAGTAATACAAAAGTTAGATTGTAATACTTCATTCATTCTTGTCAGTATATATTGTTGCATTTATACTGTCCATTGTTAGTCCCTTTTTACAATAAAATGCCTGCAATATAAACTACGTTAATAAAATCCCCAACTTTAGTTAATGAATGATGTGAATCCTTACCTACACAAAGCTTTTTACTGAAACTACAGTTATATTATTTTTGGCAAGGTCACACTTCTTCTAAACTGTAGAATGTATGCCCATCTCAGTTTCTCATAGGATAACCTTCACCCCAGAATTGATCTCATGAGGCCAGAATGTGCTCCAAGTGAAGACTTTCCAAAATCCTATTACACGCAGTTGGATTTCCAATTTTTTCTTTTTCTAAATATTCCCTTTTTTCATAATGCACATTTGAATTCTAGTCCATAGGAAATTCTCAAATTATAGTTCTAACAGTGATAATGCTTAAGATATAAAATTGTATAATTATGTTGATCAGTTCTAAACTTTGTTCAATTCGTCGTGCACTTTTCCTAAAGTAAGATTTTTTTTCCCTCTGTTTGAATGATTGGATTAAGTGATGGAACAGGCTCGACAGCTTGAATGGCCAACTCTTCCTATGTTTCAATTTAAAATGTTGATTATGTTGAATATTTCAAATATGTTTCCACTTAAGGCTAAAGTGCTACTTTGACTCACTGGTAGCTTCCCATTTTACATCCGAAGGGCATGATTTCAAATTCCATTCTAGAGACTAATGCCACCTAAGCTAATAAGTACTGAGGATGAGCCACGTTGTTTGATGTGCGGTGTTACAGAGAAGAGGTTGTAACTGTTAATACTATCTGTAGAAGAGCAAGGGAAATACACACGCATATATATAAATAAAAATAATGTAAACTAAAACAAAGGACTGCAGATGGAAGAGATCTGAAACACAAAAACAGACATTGCTGGAGAGCCTCAGCAGGCCTGGCAGCATCTGTGGGGAGTGAAACAGTTAATGTTTCCAGACCAGTGACCCTTCAATCAGAACCCAGAATTCTTCGAGTTGTCCCAGCCGGAATTCATTCCTCGGAACTCCTAGCACTCACAGCTATTATCAGTTATTTGTGAGTCCTTTGTGTGCAAATTAGCTGCCACATTTTCTCTATTACAATATTGCAACATGTACCATTAGCTACGAATCACTAGCACTTTTTAAATTCAGGTTATTTTCTAGCTTCTGAAATGTGTATTTGGGTCTTACCATATCTGATGAATGAAACATTTGGATTAAATAAATCAGTGATCTAGTCTCTTTTCCTGAATATCCAGCAGTTGCCATTCTATATAAACTTCAAATTCCTTTTGTAATGTTTTAGTTCAAACTGTTATCCTCAATTTGTGCTTAACTGTAATCTTAATGCTTCAGTGAAAATATTCATTCATTAATATTAATTTATATTCCCCAAATTATTTTGACGTCAGTTTAAATTGGTTTGTTTATCCAATCAAATTGAATTAAATTTCGTAATTCAATCTTAGCTTGAATTGAGATTTAAATTCAAAATCAGTTTCTAAATCTATTCTATCCAAAAATGCAGTTATTTTACTTTTCTAATTGAATCAATGATTAAGATCATAAGACAATAAGAAATAGGAACAGGCCCTTGAGCCTGGTCAGCCATTCAACAGGGTCATTTCCTGCCCTTTCCCTGTAAGCCTTGTTTCCTTCATTGACCAGTCTTATCAATTTCAGCCTTAAATATGCACATGGACACTGCCCCCACAGCTGTCTGTGGTAAGGATTTCCAAAGGGACTGAACCCTCTGAAGGAACAAATTCCTCATCATCTCAAGTATTAAATTGGCATCAGTTTGTTCTCTGACTATGGCCTTTGGTCCTAGACTCCCACGAAGGGAAATGTCCTCTCAGCATTTATCCTGTCAAGCCTCTAAGAACTCTATATGTTTCAATAAGATCACCTCTCATTCTTCCAAACTCTAGTGAGTAGAGTACCAACCTGTTTCGTATATGCTTATAAGACAATCCCTCCAGACCAGACATCATCCTTGAGCCTTCTCTGAACTGCCTCCAATAAAATGATATATTTCCTTAAATAAGGGGACCAGAACTGTTAATAGTCCTCTGGATGTGGAGGGTCACTCACCAGCATCTTGTACAGAGTAAGGAAGTCTTACTTACTCTTATACCTCAACCACCTTAAAATAAGGGCCAACATTCCATTTGCCTTCTTGATTAGCTGCTGCACCTGTGCTAGCTTTCCGTACTTTGTGCATTAGTACCCCTAAGTCCCTTTGTGTTGCAGCTTTCTGCATTTTCACCCTATTAAAATAATATTCTGTTCTTCTGTTCTCCCTTCCAAAATGAACTTCACATTTTTCCATTTTATACGCCATTGCCCAATTTTTGCCCACTTACTTAACCTATCAATTTATCTCTCTAAACTGCCTGTATCCCTTTCACAACATATATTTCCCTCTATTTTTGTGTCATCTGAAAATTTGGGTACAGTACATTCACTTCCTTCTTCCAAGTCCTTTTATATTGTAAACAGTTGCCGTTCCAGTACTGATCCCTGTGGAACCCCACCGGCTGCAGAACACTGACCTGAAAAAGAACCCCTTATCCCCACTCATTGTTTCCTGCCCATTAGCCAATTCTCTATCCATGCTTTTGTACTATCTCCAACACTGTGGGCACTTATTACTCAATCTTTTGTGCAGTACCTTGAGAATGCCTTCTGGAAATTCAAATACAACACATCTACTGGTTTCCCTCTATCCACTTTAGTTGAAATTTCCTCAAAATTAATAAAACTGGTTCCCTTTTCATGAAGCCATGATTTCTCTGCTTGTTCAGATTACAATTTTCCAAATCTTCTGCTATTACTTCCTTATAATGGATTCCAAAACTTTTCCAATAATAGATGTTAGGCTAATCAGCTGATAGATACCTGCTTTTTACTTCCATTTGTGAACAGGGATGTCACATTAGCAGTTTTCCAATTCTTGTACTTCTCCAGGACCCAAGGATGTTTTTGAAAATTACAACCTATGCATCCATTATCTCTGTAACTACTTCTTTTAGGATCCTAGGATTTACCTCAAGATGTAACTGAGTTGCAATATTCTGATTCAAACACATGCCCCATATTGGTTTTAGTTTTAAACTGCTCTCCCTTGTCTCAATTCATTGTCTCATTTTTAAAATTCAAAATGTATTTTTAAGAATTAGATGTTGTCCTCACATTTTGTAAAATATCTAGTTAGCTAAGAACATATAGTATAAAATTAATTTAGTTTGGTAGTAGAAAATTCAGTAGATGTTAAATATGGAGATTGGGAAAGAGTAGGGTTGGGTGATGTACTGGGATTTGTGATGGGTTTTGCTGTAATACAGTTAGTTTATTTTTTGCTATTTTGCAAATATTAGACTGTTTTTCAGACAATATTAAAACTGAGGTCCCCACCTGCATTCTTTGGGGGATGGATAAGATTTGATAGCACTGTTTGAAGTTGAGTGGGGGAGTTCTATTTATCACTCAACCAACATTGCCGAACAAAATAGCTGGTTGCTGATTTGGTGCTTGTGGAATGTAGAAACTGAAAATTTGTTGCATAGAAGAAGACTATCTGGCCCTTTATGTGCTCCCTGGACAAGAACGGGAAGTATCCGGCTGTATTCCTCTTTGTAGTTCTTGATTCATGGCCCTGTAGGTGACATTTCCAAACGACTTTATAAATGCCATGAAGATTTTTGTCTCTCTCGCCCTTCCAGCTACTGAGTCCCCCTCACTTCCACATATACTCTGGGCGTTGAGTATTCTAATGATCACTTCTCAAATCCTTCTGCCAATGATCAGATCGTTACCGCGAAGTAACACAAGAGAGAACAATAGCGACCATTTCAGAAAGCAAATGATTGGATCGGGAGCCCATCGGAACTTGTAGGGCTCAGAGAACACTTCTAAGCAATCAGCTGTACAGCTGGTTCCCACCGCTAGCTGGCACCATC